AAGGGGGTCATTTCTTATTTTCTGTTTCCCACTAGCGCATACACCCTATAAAAAAACGAAAAAAAGGGGGTGGGGATGGTAGTTACATAGCATCTGGGAGAGACCCATCTAAGCAGTTTGAGGTGACAGATGTGTCTGAAGAAAAGGTAAGGCTGGGGGGAAAAAAAGCAGCATTTCTGGTGTAATGATGATACTGTCTTTACTTGAGGCGATTGTCATTGCCCCAGTGTGCTCTGTCTGGAAAACACATGATAATGCATACTTGTATTTTCTTTCTTCCAGTTAACTTAAAGTGCTTGATTACTTACCATCTCATATATTCCATGACAGGTTACGAGCAGGTAGTGCTTTTTTTTTTCTTTTCTTTCTTTTTTTTTTTTTTTTTTTTGGAATAGGGCACGTGTGCTCACCAGAAAGACAGAGAGAGACAGAAAGCGAGAAATCCCCCCCCCCAGGGGGGATGGCCACGCCACAATCACTTCTCCTCCATTCTCCTCTTGGGATCTTGGGCACGCACGCACACGCGCCTGGCCTGCGTTTAAGCCACCGGGTCTGGGACTCGAACCATGGTCAGCTACATGGGAGTCCAGCGACGTAGCCATTACGCTAACTGCTGATCTTTTTTTTTTTTTTTTAACAAGTGGATAAATCCAGATTCTGGAAAGTGAAAGAGGCCTTATTCACATAGTCACTCAGCTACAAAGACAGATGGAAAAAACATATTCCTTGTCTTTGGGATCATGTTGCTTTTTGACATTCTATGCAGCTTGAGGGATTGGTGTAATCAGTCACAGCACTCTCTTTAAGGAGATAAAATGTAATCTTGTTTCTCCGTTCCTGGTGGTTAGTGATGAGGGCAAGAGCACACTGACTGCCTCACAATGGGGACTATCCAGTGAAGATCTTCTGCACAACTTAACACACTGTGAGTCCCCTCTTATGCTGAAAATTCAGTATGATACACGGCTTCACTTTGTTCTACATTACTTATAAAGGACTGGAGTAGCTATTAACTCACTTTGTTTTCATTCCCATCAGAAAGATAGAACAGATGGTATTACGCATGTTCCATCCCAGATGGGTTATAATAACCTGCTACTTACTGAGCACCTTGCTGGCCCCGACACTCTGATGTCCTTACATATTCTTGTTGAATCACCATAGCAACCCTGTGAAATAGGTGGAATTAGCTTCGTTGTTTACAGACATGAACCTGGGGCTCAGAGAAGCTGAGTAATTTGTTCAGGGTCACACCAGTCTTTCATCCAAGTCTTTCAGACACCTGAGATTCTGATATGCCTATTGTAGTCCATTTCTTCCCAAATCCTTTGTGCATTCTGTTAGTATTAGAAATGATCCCCTGAGCCCAGTCCCTCCTATTGATTTTCTGCTCTCTCCTATAAAGAGCGCCCACAACTAACCAGTTGTTTAATTTAGCAATTCACTGATTAGATTGCTACTCCAGTTAAAACGCAAATTTCAGCGTAGGCACAGTGGCACACACCTGTAATCCCAGCTATTAGGGAGGCGGAGGTAGGAGGATCTCCACTTGTAGGCCAGCTTGGATGACACAGTGAGACCCTCTCTCAAAAAGGAAAAAAAGAGGGACCAGCAGTTAGCGTAATGGCTATGTTGGTGAACTCCCATATAGTTGACCATGGTTCGAGTCCCAGACCCAGTGGCTTAAACTCACGCCGGGCACGCATGCACATGTGCCCAAGATCTCAAGAGGAGAATGGAGGAGAAGGGATTGTGGTATGGCCACCCCCCCCCAGGGGGTGATTTCTCACTTTCTGTCTCTCCGTCTCTCTCTGTCTTTCTGGCAAGCACACGTGCCCTATAGTGAAAAAACTCTCCAAAAAAAAAAAAAAGGAAAAAAAGGAAGTAATTTCAGGGCCAGCCAGGTAGCATAATGGTAAGGCAACTAGATCCCATATGGCTGACTGTGCAGTTCAAATCTCAGACTCGGTGTCTTGAATAGAGACACTGGGTTCCTGCGTGAGTGCCTAAAATCCTGAGAGGAGAATGGAAGAGATTTTGGCATGGTCTTCCCTCCTGGGGGTACTTTCTCACTCCTCACCTTCCCCCATCTCCTTCTAGCAAGTGCTTGTGCCCTATATCAAATTTAAAAAAAAAATAGAAAGATCATTTCAATACTAAGAAAAGCAATTACCAGGCCAGCCAGGTGGTATGGTGGATAAGGTGGCTGGATCCCACATAGCTAACACATGCTTTGAGTCCTGGATCCAGAGACTTGAAAAATATGCCAGGTGTGTGTGCTCAGAATCCCAGGAGGAGAAGGGATGTCAGGGTGGCCATCTCCCCTGGCTGGAGGTTTCTCACTTTCCCTGTCGCTCTCTGCTTCTGGCAAGTGCACATGCCCAATTGGAAAAAAAAAAAAAGGAAGAAAGGAAAAGACAAGACAAGCAATGGGCTGCAGGTGGCATGGTGGTTAAGGAGCTGGATTCCCACATGGCTCACCATAGTTCGAGTCCCAGACCTGTCAACTTGAAAATCATGCTGGGCACATGTGCATACATGCCCATAATCCCAGGAGGAGAATGGAGGCGAAGGGATTGTGGCATGGCCATCCCTCTTTTTTTGGGGGGAGTATTTCTTGATTTCTCACATTCTCCTCTCTCTGTCTCTCTTCAGCAAGCACATGTGCCCTATGGTAAAAACCTTTAAAAAAAAATAGTACATGTCTAGGGTTTACCATGTTCCAGGCTATGATCTAAATTTCTGGCATGCATTAAGTCATTTAAGCCTCACACCAGTGTGAAAAGTAGTTAACTGTTATGTGAAGTAGTTACTAATACCATCAACCTGGAATGAGAAAACAGAGGCAGAGAGTTTAAGCACTGTGCCCAAAAGATACACACAGCCAGTAGATCGTGGACCCATTATTTGAAGTCTGGTTCCAGACTTTTTTTACATATGGAACTACATCCCCATAGAAAAAGTATTCAATTCAGCAAGTATTGATTTATTTCCTGTGCACTATGCCGGTAGAAAATATAGTTTCTGCACATAAGAGTTTACATTTTCAACAGAAAACAAAATGTATATGTTCAAAATAAATGCTGCAGCACCTAGCAGGAGTGGGAATGTTGTATATGACTTGAAATGAATGATAGCACAGTGGTTAAGTGGCTGTAAATTGGAAGCTGGATCCCACATGGCCAACCATGGTTTGAGTCCCGGCCGTGTGGCTTGAAAAACGCCCCGACCGCGTGTGTGTGTGTGCGCGCGCACGCACATTCGTGCATGCCCCGAATCCTGATGGGAAGGAAAAATGGAGGAGGAAGGACTGTGGCATGACCATGCCCCATTTGGGGAAGTACATTCTCTGCCTCTCTCTGGTGAGCGCATGCACCCTCAAGCTAAAAAGAAAAAAAAAAAATAGTAGAGCCTGTAAGTGATCTGAGACAGTTAATTAGCTTTTCTACGTCATGTACTTGACTATGAGTGAGTGACTTGGACACAGGGGAGAAGCTGTTCCGTGGGTTCTAAAATAAGCAGGTGACTTGGCTACCATTCAAACTCTAAATAGGTATATGGGTTGTAGCTATTCGACCTGAACCAACTTTAACTTCCTCCAAATCCTTATGTGGTTTTTGGTGGAGCTGATATAAAAACAATAGTGAACTTTTCTCAAAATATTGGGTTTGACTTCGAATTCACTAAATCGTTGACAGAAGTCCTGCAAGGTCCACAGGAAGGGCATTCTTAAGTATTATATCATCCTTTCGTCAAGAGCGTTCTCTTTTTCTAGCAGGAAGTGTTGTGACTTGCTCTCTAGAGTTGCAACTGGAAGAAGAATGTTGGGTTTCCAGATTGCCTTTCTGGGCGTGGGAGAAGGTTCTTTCTATTAGTGCCGAGAGAAAGGAAACAGGTTTGCTCTCGTCGCAGAAGGGTAAAGATTTTAATATTTTAGTAGGCTCTAACTTTTAGATACCTGAATGTGTCAGCACAACTTTACTTGAAAATGCTTGAAATTTCTGTTATTTGCTTGGGTAGTTAAACTTTTGGAATCACTTTCTGAATGCTATTCATTCGAGTAGAATCAAATGCGTTTTAAGAGAAATCTGTGAAATTTAGAATCTAACCTGTTCTGTGTACATGGGGGGGGGAGACTTTATTTTAGGAATATTTTAGTGACTTTGTACTTTTTCCAAATTGATTTTGAAGTCCTAAGTAGATAGCGATGTTTATCAAGTAAGATGCTCCAAAGCTTAAACAATCCAAATTTTCTGTACCTTGTGTGGTGGGGGTGGGAGGGGAGGTCAAATGCTTTCAGTTCCCCTTAATGATTTTTCAAAATTCCGTGAAGTAGAGCGAGCGAGGTGGCTGTCATGACAGAACACGTCATGATTAGACGGGCACTCTGCTGTTACAAAGTCTTATGTCAAACAGTTGTCCTAGTGCGTGTAATTTATGAAATAGTGAAAAAGCATTTGGTGATGAAATTTGGGTGGTGTGGTCGTGAGATGGCAGGTGGTAGTGATCGCTAGTGCTCGGAATTCACCCTGGTTTTCCATCACATGGCGATCAGGTAAGTTTTATTTCTGGCAAAGGAAGGTACAGCTAATTATATGGTAGATTTCAGCCCCGGGTTGGTAGATCCCCCTTTCAGGTTGGTGGTAGTTAGTATGCACATCTGGTCGAGGTACAAAGTGAAGTATGAAACTAATCTAGTTCATTTAATTAACAAGTACTGTACTTGAGGACGTACAGGAGCAAGATACGTAACACTGCCAGGGGTACCTTCAGGGACTAATAGATAAGCTTTCTGCTTAGGTCAGAGTCCAAGCTGAAATTGTGTGTCTAGTGATTTCTGATGTGTAGGTCATAATATTTTTATGATATTTTTGTTTTGAGTTGAATCATGCTAAGTAGCTTAATCTTGGCTACAGATGTGTGGGGAGTGTGGGGGTATGTGTGTGTACATGTGTGAACATCCCCGAAGGTTGCTCTTGGCTTCACTTAAACATGTGTTC